AACAACGGACGAGTTTGAAGGTCCTTCCAAGTCATCTGAAGATGTGGGTTCGCAGCACCCTATCTGACACAATTGCAGGTACTGTCACTCGAACCAAGGACCTTTGGTATGTCAACTGATATCTCACGTTGAATGACTAAGTGGAAGCTATTTAGAAACAGTTATAAGCACCACAATTCAGCCTGACAGACTGATGGCATCTTCACTCGCGTAACATCATGATCTGCTGACTCGATGTCTAAATGGGACTCGGCTAAAGTACAAAACGCGCTAACATCTGTTCGTGTCTCGATACATTCCCACTTGACAGATGGATCTTATTACATTTCTTCTCGTGTGACACCGTGACTTATTAGGGGTTGCAAAATGAGGTCAATGTATCCCATCTCAAGTGTCTCTATACGCCCCATTGTACTGCGGCCACCTTCGGGTAAACGCACTGAGATTCAGACAAGTCATCAAGGTTGATTCCCGGAACAGCGGCAATACGTTGTGATATCCGAATCGAAATGCATGGGCATAGGTAGTATTCTAGACACCGATGGATTGGTCAAGATATGCTAGCGGTCCGAACGAATGACCAAGGGGAAATAAATAGTAACACATGACGGACTGCTTGGTGGTTCTACCTCCCTGTTGATTCTCGCTCACCTCGGACAACAGACGATTAGAACCGGCTCTGGTTTTACCTTACGACACGGATAGCCTGCAGTGGACATAATCGCACCATTTCCTTGCTAACTTGAAAAGATGCTTACGCCATCTCCGTCATTCATTTTGGTGTCATCCTTATTCTATATACCGCATGTATGTCGAGCTTGGGTGCAGTTTCATTCTAGAATGATTAACTACTGACTTGGTGCAATGTGGTATCTTTATTGCACCTGTCTAGAACAGATGAGCCACAGGTAACCTAACATTTTTAGGCTTATTTAACTCGGTTGTATTCCGCAATGACTTCACGTTTTGCCCATTACGATACTGTACTCATCATGATCTATGCTATGCTATTCTTGCTACCTCCTCAAGCGGCGTCTAGTAAGGTTACATACCGAGAGTGAACTATGGCATCTACATTTTCGTATTATTATTCGGCCGCGATTCATATCCCTATGTCAGCTCCATGGTATTGCTCACCATAACTGTAGCTTGACTAGCTGCTCAATGCTAACTTGCATGATGCTTAGAGAGCCGGTGCATCGCAGAATAATGGTTCAGTCCATCCATGAGCTCATTCATAACTGATGCGCGCGCGGTGTTTCCGAGCGATTTGTGTGCTTACTAAGGGGTCAATGCTAGGGTGGCAAATTATTATGTATGTTTCCAGTTCGATGGATACGTTTGAATCAAAAGGTTATCATCGCTTGGCCGTTTACAGTACGCATAAAATGTCGAATTTGACATTTGTAACACGATGCTCAACGATTGTCCTTCGTGTGACCACTTTGGATTATGCATTCGAAAAGAAATTTCCCCGGAAAATCTGTGTCAAGTGAACAATCCCGACAATTAACCGACTAGCGATTATCACGATGTTGCCATTCCATGTTCCACTCCGCAGGCTAGTGAAGAGAGTGAGTATAGTTATAGTTCCAGTTATCCCTCAGCCATACTGAATTTACCGGGGCCTATGAAAACACACATATTAACCGGATGGAAGGCAGACGTGCAGAGACGCCTACCAGAATTTGCATTGCACATGGCCAATCTTTTGAATGGATTAAGTAAAAGGTTGCATCTAACGGGAATGGTACGTCAATGTGTTATTATATAACATCGGAAATGAATCGGCGCATAGCGACAATGGTTTTATGAGTACCGAATGGGCTGCACCTGGAACGTACTATATAGACCGTTAGCAAATAGCTTATGGCCACAGTAGAGTACAGGTCGGTAGGTATAACCGGTTGAGTACTTGGACATTTGCACAATAAATGTGAACACTGTTTGGAAAGTCGAATGTTTGACAGTGGGCAGCGGGACTAAGTTGATGTCACTTGTCAATACCAATGGTTGCGCATCAATCGTTCGTTGAGTAGGCGCACATGCCTCGGGCAGCACATGACCGAACCGGTCGGAGACACAGAGAGCCAGAAGTGGACACTGTATCGCATTCGCATGCTGTGTGATCTCCCACCTCAGCTACTCAAACCAGAATGTACATGTAGAGGGCAACAGCTAAGTGCACACTATTTCACTGTACCAGTAGTCGAGTCATCATTCTACCTAGCAGTTGCTTTACTATTGCCACATCGGATTCCTTCAAATATGGATGCCCAAAATTTAAGGCAGTCACGTCTAAAGGTTAAAGAAAACATCAACAGTTCGTATTGGGTAGTTATTCTCATACCTGCGAAAGTGGTTGTTAGCCTGACCTCCAAACGAAACCCATACACGTTTGTCATACCATTGATGATTATGTCTAATGTGCCTCTATGCAGTTTGTGACAGCTCACACTTAAGTTTGAACAAACGCATGTACATATGTTGCATTCGAACTGCCATTGGACACAGATGACGCCAATCTATGCATATATGTATACCGAATGAATTCCACGAGGATCTTCATACTGCTTTTGTACGGTTAACTTAGTGCAGTAGAACGACATTCGAGCAAACCGAAAATAATATTACCAGAACATGAAGAAGGTGAGTTTATGACACTCATGTTGATTTCAGGTGTTGCGAATCTAAGGCAAATTGGATCGATGCGAATTCCGTGGAATGCTCAAAAGGGCGGTTTCTCAGGTGCCGCAGAAGGCACTATAGTATGTGGAATAGAAGCACCATGAGTATGTTCCCATTCAATTTACTAATCCAGGCCAATAAGGCGGCGTATATGGTACGCTTGCCTGCGTGATGAGTAATCTTGCATTTCAGAAGTAGATGTTGCTTGAGCACCCCTGTGTGGATGCGCCTGATGTGAATGTTGACAAGGTGCCTAACTGTCTATTACCCACTACCTCGTCCATACTGGCTCCAGGTGACAGTTGATCGTCGCTGGAGGGGACGGAGTGCACCGTCCTCGTGACGGTGCTAGGCTCAAAGAGTGGTTCCATGCAACCTGTGTGAAACGGACTACGGTCTAGCCACCGCCTCGTGTACGTCTGGTGTGTATGATTTCCCAATTAGGCCGGAATACTTCCGTTCCGCTTGTTGAAGGAGTGTGGGCTGGCTCCGTTGATGAAACGTGGCTCCCATCCGCATGCCTCCCGGTCTTATTTCTTCGGGTTTACACCAGATATGGGGTGTGTGGGTGGAACTATGGCTGGTGCAGCGCAAGCCACCCATGGTCCCCTTTGTAGGCGCAGGCGTCCTGTGACTGTCCCCATGGACGTCACAGTGACAGGCAAATCCGGATACGGACGCCGCCAAATCATCTGACACAATCGAAATTCAAGGCAGTGTACCTCAGGGCCCGGATCACGCATGTTCCTGTTTGTCATAAATGATCTCGAGAGGGTGCTAGCATTAAATGTTCCACCACTCACCGATGATCTTAATATATAAAGTGCTATCACCATAATGGAGGGATCTGGATAAGGCATAGACGTTCACCGAAAACATTCTCCAGTTTAGCGTCGCCAAGTGCATACGCCATCAGAATACTCACGACTACTAGCTAGGGCCACAAATTCTCATGAGTGCGACCGCGTGCTCGTGCAAGATGACCTTGGTTGCTTGAGGCAAACTGAAAAGGTGTCAACGAAAGCAAATCAGCACTTCGGCCACCATCAAATGGCGCTCGGGAAGTTCGACGCCTCAGTCTTTCCGAAAGGGTTTGGCGCGTACGTGAGGCCGCATGCGGAATACGCTATCCAAGCGTGGCAACTTTGGCAAAAGCAGCACCTCACAGCGCTCGATACTGCGCAACGATGAACGAAAAAAGGAATGTCCCACTTCCCTACCAAATCAGGTTGAGAATTCTCAGTGTACAGCGAACGTTACAGACGTCCACAGTACGAGTTGATAATCATGTATCAGACCCAATCATACTTGCCACCAATTTTTGTAGCTCACACATAATACTTCACTTAGGGGACATCAGTTAAGGTTGGCCACACAGTACGGAGGACAAAAATGTTGCCAAAACATTTGCTCCCTATGAGTGTTACAGCTCTGGAACTCCCTTCCAGCGCGAGTAATTAATCCCCCACTCTATTACTACTCAAAAAACGCATCGACGACAGACTGACATATTTACACTACGTGATGGAGACATTTACTACCAGTGCATAACAAACAATGAACAGTGTCATAATCCTATTAAACCGAATGTGGGAATGCTCACACGCGCTACGGTAAACCTCTAGGTGAGTCATGTATCTTGTGCGTCCTGTTAACGACATTTTTCTATTGTAATTTTCACCCTAACCAGCTTATGGGATTTATCAAGTATTTGCTAGTATACCTGCTATAAACCACGGCCCTACTGTGCCACCCAGGTGTTGTTACAGGAGCACATCGAGACAAACAAAAAGGAGTGATATACTAAGAGATAGATAATTGAAGAATCAAAGCATAGACAATGCGAAAAACCGCCCTAGTGGGAAGTAGCCTAGATGATATGTAGAAAATTAAACTGCGACAACGTCACCATAACCTTACGGAGCGCTTTAGGCTATGAGGTTAGAAAACCAATCTAAAAAGTAAATCAAACAGCCACTAGTAATACAACCAGTTGATACAAAGCATAGGGGCAAACTCAGAACTCCCGTACCCCAAAGTCAGAGACTTTACGTAGGAGCAGCCCAACAGAGGCTGGCAGGTCCCTTCGCCAACCCAACAACTGTAACACTGTAGTAGCTTCTAGTACAGAAATGTTAAAAATCAAGAGCACGCAGACTAATTGGATGATGAACCTCGGAAGGATTATTGTGATGCCAACTTAAGACTTAAAGGGCGTTAGCCCCAGCAATCCGAAACACAGGAATTAAAAACCTAGTGCGCTCGGACTGAGAAAGCAAAAGATAGTTGTACGCAAAGCCTAGAACGATTACCTGGCGTTGGTTGGAGGGGCGCAGCAGATCACAAGTTGACAATGGACGTGAGTTAACCTTGGGTGCCACGGTTGCCGGCGTAGCTGCAAGTAAGGGAGACAAAGATTTAGTATGAAGCCGCGTCTCCTTTAACGGTCGTCTCATGCTACCACTGATAGAAAAGGATCGCATTTCCAGAGCTGAGCAGGCTATGCAGGAACTCTGTGAGCTCGAAACCTCCGTGACTGAATATGCTAGTGTATTGTTGAATGTTGGTTGTGTGTAACTCGTTGTGGAGCCCAGTTTTGCTAGAGTAGGAAGGAAATCGGTTGCATGAATGCAGTCGTGTATGTATGTCATCATCTTGAATGTGAAGTGAAGGTATACCAGACTCAAAGGTGTAAATGTACGTCAGGTTAGCCAAAGGATGTGTAAAAATACTTTGAAAAAGGTATTAGTGACACAGTAATGTCGTTCTTGGAAGAAGATGGTGGGAAAGCTCGTCGCGATAATTTTTGGAAAACACCAGCCGATCACACCCAAATAAAAGAAAGAGTAATTTCGGAAAGTTTCAAAACAAAGCAGTCGTTTTAAGGCCTGTATTACGGCTACGTTTCGCGATTGAGACAAAATCTTCATCAGGCCAGGTAAATTAGTATAGAATTGGCTTGGTTTTCTTATAGCAAATTCGGATGATGATTGCGAGAAGTGGTGTCAGTGGATAATTGTGGCTACAGTTTCAAAAGGTCATTCTGGGACGAAACGTAGCCGTAATATAAGCCTTAAACACCCTATTTGTGTTTTGAAACCTTCCGAAATTAAGAATTCCAAGTTTATTCAACGAGGTTGAAACGCAAGAATAATGTAGCGAATTAGTTGAAACAACTATGAAAAGGATTACGGAAAGCAGATCATTACATCCCACCATGGAAATCAGTGTCGGAAATCGTAAACTTCATGAGTTGCAAACAAGTTTGTTTCCGAATGACCCTCTGTAATGATAAATGAAAGTTCGGAAAGTTTGGTGGGAACGCCACCAATCAGGCATGACCAGTACATAGCCTGTGGTAAAAGCAAGTAACGGCGATCACACGGAGTTGAACTACAGACATACAATTGGGTCCGGGTGGAGTCGACGATGCGTAACTTACCTTAAAAAAAAGAAGATACAACTGGCTCGTACGACAAAAGAGAGCAAGTAGCAATAAAGGAAATGAAGAACCAGGTGCAAATCGCATGAGCAAAATATGGTAACATGCGAATGCGTTGCTAAAGATTTCAACCGAAGCAAAGAAGCTGCCATGCTTGTTAACAGTTACACAGCACCCGCCAATAAACCCGAAATGAAGCCAAAAATCAGAAGGCACACTTGCTCACAATAACAACAGAGCAAACAATATACGAATGTGATGTAACCATGGTTGATGTATAGGTACAGATAATAAGATTCCATTGTAGTACAACTTAATCAGATGGTAAATAGTTCAGAACGAATCTAGCCAATCCACAAGTATGTGAGAGCTCCACGTCAAATTCTTCAACTTCCAGGAGATAACAGCATGGTGAGTGATTTCAGTAGTTTCCTTGTTCCAATGATGGATAGACCGGGAAAATTTCATCGTGCCGACACAACGTGAATAATCGAGAAACGCGGCTGGGATTGTGATTAATCTTTACTTAACTGCCGATTGCTGAACAAAAGTAACGACGAACATGACAACCTCAAGTGCGTAACAGGAGGAAAAGTTTTCTAGTACAAATGGACTACCCACATCGGACACCAGTTAATCATTTGGACCACATCGTGTCACTGGGAAAGATTCGCTAGCTTTCACTGTAGCATCCAGATTGGTCATCAGCGTGCTGTACCCATCGTGGGTCTAACCGCCGTAGATCAACAGGCGCCACCTGCCAACCACAGCAACTGGTTTAACCGAATGAGGTATTCTTACCAAATGAGTTAGGTCGCACAGCATCAGGAACCCAGACTTAAACAGTAACCGCACGTGTCGTCATTCTCAGATGCGTTGAATAACAAGCTGAGCAGAAGCGTTTGCACAGCAGTTCAGCTGAGATGTTGCCGTCTGGTAAATCACCTGAGCCACCGTGGAAAGTCGATGTCACGAATACAGTTGTAAAAGAACTTCGACATTAGCTAACCGTGTTGAAGACACAAGGTTGCTGGACACGACAGCCTTCCTCCATCTTCGTTGGCCTAACTTACCGCTACAGTCGACACGAGTTCGGACAATTGAGAGGTGCATTCAGACTGGCGACTGTCAACTATGGTGCTCATCTTCAAAAAGAGTCAAGGAGCCGTTCGAAAATTTTCGAAGCATTAGCCTTCATTCCACTATCTTTAAACTTCTCACCTATACGTCTGACTTATTGCTCGTGGTTGCGTCAACAACAAGGTCAGTTTTGTCGTGTTAAAGCAAAGGCACCTTTAGAGACAATCGACTATGGAAGTTTTCTTTGACCTGAAAGCTGCCCTCGACTCTATTGATCGAGCGAGCTCGTGGTACTGCTCGTCTGTGAATAGAGCGCTTGGAAAAATCTATGATGAAGTCCCTCTAACGTGACTCCCAAAGGTTTCCGGAAAGTTGTCTTCTGAGTTCTCCATGACAAGTGGGTTCGCTAGGGTTAACCGGACCTCTAAATGATCGTGAAAGACTGCTTTTTTCAGACTATTCCGGAGTGGAAGTACTGCCAGTTGATCGACCGAAAACCATGAGTACGCGGACGACATAGCATTCCTTAGGTCTGAAGCAGTCTCTATGCAAACAGCGGTGAGCAGCGTTGCACGCTAATGCATGCGTTAAGCATATTCAAGGTGCAAAGTACTGCTGCAGGAATGGACCGATAAGTCACCGGTTCAAGCTATCAGCGAACAGCCACTGAAAGTGGTGGATCGTTTCACTTACTCTGATAGCTATAGCACGTCTGGCGATGACATTCCTGAAAAAGTTACTTTGCGCATCAGCTTGGCCCGTGTGGCCCACCAGCGCCTCAACCAGCAATAGAGACAGCTAGACATAAGGTTATCAGTGAAAGTTAGGGTGTATAAACTTGCGATAGGACAGGTGTAACTGTATGGATCAGAGCGCTGGCCAGTTCGTGCAGATGACATTAAACGCTTGGCCGTGAGTGACCATCAGTACTAGAGTAGTATTGCTCACATGTAGTGGGAACACCGGGAGAGCAATGCTCAGGTCGACAGTTGACATTTAGCAAGAAGCCTGCTGGTGACTCATTCGATTGTTTGCTAAAGATCAAGCGCTTATGTTGGTTATTTCGCATCATCTGTATCCCTGGCGACCACCTTCTTCGGCGTGCATTATATGCAGTAGCTACACCAAGTTGGGTGAACCTGTGAGGTGGCCAGTCGATAACGTTGACCGAGAGACTTGACCAGACTTGTGCGTGCCGTTTCGTGGATGGGAGCCCCGCGATGGTCCACAACAGTGGTTGAAGACTCTAAATGGTATGGTCTAATCGCGCAATCAGTGCCATTCGGCTAATTGGACCTGGTCGCTAATTTGCTATCTCGATTAGTTCTGCTCTGAGTCAATTTTCGTTCTCTTCTATTTGAGTTAAACCTCATTTTCTAACTTGTTATGTGTTATTCTCGCAACATGAGTCGTGGCAACTAGATACACCGCAATTCGGCGCGTGGATCATAGTTGTTCAACTGGGCCGAATCTGAGATCCCACAGACTGCAGCAAGGACTCTAAGAAGGTTGAATTTAAACGTTAAATGAACGAACTCATTAGCCCCAGAAAACATACAAAGGTTGCAGTATTAGCTGATGATATAAACGCTCAAGTTGGAAAATTGTCCACTGATAATTTGCATCTGGGCGACCAATACGGTGTAAGTTCCAGTAATGATGGCGATGACTGGTTGCTACATCTGCGCGGACATGCTCGCCTATTTCTCGCAAGCACTAATCCGACATAGCACTCATCGCAAGGTTACATGGCGCTTGCCGTCCTTGGAACAGTCACGGACGCAAACTGCGCACATCGATATCAGTAACCGTTGGAGAAACTGTGTTGAAAACGGCCGCCCAAGCTGGGGAATTAAAATGGACTCTATCTATGCACTTCATCTCAGAGTGCTTTTAGGTGGACTCCTGCGACGACTGTGAGCGTACAGATAGTTGCCAACTGGTGGAGATATGCTCTAAACGGGGACACAGATACACTGGCATCCAAGCTGAGTAAGCGTTAAGTGAACACAGGTGATGGTTACTGGTCGCATGTCCATTGAAAGACTTGCAGCGTTGCGCTGGACATTTTGAGATGCAATTTGTTCAGCCGGAATAACCAGTATCCTAACGGGCCATTGATTGCCCGGTTCCGCGAGCCGTCTCTGTGGATCCGCACCCTCGAGGACAGAAGTCAAACGCGAGATCGGGCCGTTGCAATTGAACAATATCATGTCACTTCCGGATGATCAACTTCCTGACTTGAAATATGGTGACGATATTGCCCCCATCTGTGAAAGTTTATAGGAGCAACACCGAACCACCAATACGCTGGACTGATTATTATTGGTAATCGTCTCGGCAAATGCTCTGCATCTTCCAAAGTCAAATAATTCCCCCAGGATTGGCAAAAATCTCCACCTACGCTGACTCTTGGTGGGGATCAGGTAGAAGTCGTTCAAAAGCCCAACTATCTGAACAAGTGTATCATCGCGCAGAATAGAAGATGAAGCCACAAACCGTACAGCAAAGATCTGACGATAGCGTCTCTATTCGTTAGCCGACGAGCCATCTATATTGGTGGAAAGCTGACGTTAGTATTTTGCAGCGCACAATATTTAGGTTATTAGAAAGTATAGAACGCTATTGCATTTACTAGATTGTTTCGTACTTGCTGCTTCTAACATTGCCTAATTATCTCACAGGAAAAAATAAGAAAGTATATCCTGTGGCTCCCATATATATATATATATATATATATATATATATATATATCCTTGCAATACAGAGAATTGCCATAAGGCACCTACAGAAGACGGTCAACACTGCGGCCACAAGCTGTGTCAACGGTCCTATGCCCTATTGCATGCATACGGATAACGTGTTCCCGCGGT